TATATATATATATATATATATATATATATATATATATATATATATATATATATATATATATATATATATATATATATATATATATATATATATATATATATATATATATATATATATATATATATACACTATCATATTATATTTTAACATTTTAATATTGAAACATTTCTTAGCAATGTATCCGAGTTTTATTCTAATGAAAATTTTGCTGCTGCTTTGAAACTTCTGAAAAATGTGTTGGATAATTAAAAAATTGATAAATTTGATGATAAATTTTTTTTCACGCTGTCCGTACAGGCATGAGAAACTAATTGCTTGTATTACTGTTCTTAATCATTTAAAAGTTGAAAATTGTTTGGATAAATGTTCGTTCTGAACTTGAAAATGGCGGAAAAAAATAATGGTGCCGACAAAATTGAAAATTTAAAGAGAACTGTTGCTCTTAACGAAATTTTGTTTTTTACAACTAATAAAATTAATGTTTTAGAAAAAAGTAAACTAATTCGTTTATGTTTAGATTTTTATGAAGCCAGTTCTATTTCGGAGGCAAAAGAGTTGCTATTTGGTGATGCTACGAAAATAGGTGAATTTAAAGATAAAAGAAGCAAAAAAGCTCCTGGGTCAAAGCCGGATTCGTCAAAGGATATTGAAGATATTGTTTCTCTCCTTACTAACATCAATGCAAAGAAAAACTTAGAGAAACTTCCGATATATGCGACCTCCACTTTGAACTTTCCCCAGGAAAAAAACAGTGTAGATAAAGAAATGCCTTCTGGTGCAAATCTCCGTGATGAAAGCGTTCATGCTACAAGTCAACAGCCAACGGAAAATTTGTTTGATTTTGATACGTTAATAAATAAAATAAATTCTCTTGAAAATAATGTAGTAAAATGTTTGGATAAAATTCCTCAAATAGTAAATGAAACTGTCCTTAAGCAGTTAAATTATCTGAATCCCAATAAAAATACAAATTTTAATTATGCTACAAATGAATCTTCAAACTCATATTTACTTAACCCCATGCATAACATTGTTAATCATTTTATTGATACTGTTCCTTCACAGAGTTCCATGAAC